TTAACAATGTAATTCAAATTTATAGCCCTCAAAAATTCTTATTACCAACCGAGATAATAAGAAAATGCAGGTTAATAGTTAATCACCTATTATAATCAAATTTGTAGTCACATTGGGTATGTTTTAAAGGTATAACAAAGATATATTTTAGATAGGTCATCTTCAAACACTTCAGAAATCTACAGAATATGTCATTTAAGATGTTTTAATGACCTAGGTTCTTCTTTTGTTTGACAATGAAACATATCTACTCCTGGCAACACCAGTCTACTTCAGAGAAGGGCATTGAAAAAAACTACATATGTAGTTTACTTTTTAAAATTTATTTATTAAGTATACAGTATTCTGTCTATGCGTATGTCTGAGGAGGGCACCAGACTTTATTACAGATGGTTGTGAGCCACCATGTGGTTGTTTTCACCACATGGTGAATTGAATTCAGGACCTTTGGAGGAGCAGGCAATGCTCTTAACCATTGAGCCATCTCTCCAGCCCCTGGAGTTTATTTTCTTTGTTGTGAAAGTAAGTCACTGGGAAAAAAGAGAGGCCCTTGCCTCTACTGTTGATAGTATGCTGTCCTAATTGAAGCATTTAGACACAAAAGAAAGAGACGCCAAAGATAGTTGAGACAAGGAGAGCAAACCCTTAAGGAAATCCTGATTCTCAGAAAAAGTCTATCATATATGTTAGGTCTGTAGGAAAAAAATACCCCAACTTTGCAGAGGAACTTTGGGTGACTGTCTAGACAGCCAGATATTTCTGTCATTACTCACATTTTTTTGAAAGTAGCTTGCTTGCACTTCCTGCTTACCCAGTTAATATTATTTCCTTTTCAGGTCTCTGAGGTAGTTGAAGACTAGAAAATTATAACTATAGTTTCCCTTGTTCATGAGACTCAAAAAAGAAATTCACTAAAGAAATGAAAAGTATATAAGATTGAGAGATATCAAAAAGTAGTGTTGGATGGTAATGTAAATTGTAGTAGAGAGTAAATTAGGTACAAAAATTTGGACTCACCAATATAGGCTGGATATGGACTATTTTCTCTAAATGTCCAATGAAAATGAACTGGGCATTGTTGATGCATTCGTTGCCTGTATATATTGTATATAGTCATTTTACTTATTGAATGTAGTTTTTCTAAATTATTTATAACTATTTTTATTTTAAACAAAAGAGGGTAAATAAAGTGGTATATTATTTGTATTTTGATAAATAAACCTTGCCAAAACCCACTAGAGGTCAGGCAATTGTGACATATACCTTTAATCCAAGGACTTGGGTGACAGAGACAAATAGTTCTCTGTGAGTTTAAGGCCACCCTGGACTACACAAGACCAATGCAGAAATATATCCAGGTGGTGTTGGCTCACACCTTTAATCCCAGTACTAGAGGGAATATAAAATGGGAGGAGAGATCTAGGTTGCTTAGTTTAAGGTCAGCCAGCCTCGCTAGAGGTAAGAGTTCTCTAGTGTGTTGGCTGCTTTGTTTTTCTGGTTTCCAGGCTGAAGCCCAATTTCTATCTCTGAGTTTCTTTTATTAATTATTTGTGCTACAGCTTGTCTCTTAAAGGGACAGGGTACTGTCTGCTATGCACAGAGATGTGACACAGGGCACCAGACATGATGTACTGTTCCAGGTTTCCAAGGAGTAGGACCAAGGTACGCCTGGATACTAACACTCAGTATTGTGTTTAGTAGTGTTGTGCCTTGTTCCTACAAAAATTTCATATATTAAATCCTTGAACTGTCTGTCTTCCCACCTAAGTACTGTCCTATCAAAAGGCCAAGGCAATTTCTATATTTAACCAATGAAAGCAACACAAATACAGAAGTACCTCCTACACCACAAGTCTATTGTAGACAGAGGCTGCTTGTTCATTTTCTGACTGCCCAGATCTGAAATAATTACACAAAACTATATTAATTACAATATTCTTTGACCAATAGCTTAAGCATATTTCTAGCTAGCTCTTACATCTTAAATTAACCCATTTGTATTATTTTGTATTTTACCACGAAGTTCGTGGTTTACCTGGTAAGATTCCTGGGCATCTGTCTTCTTTGATGGCTACATGGTGTCTCCCTAACTCATCCTACTCTCTCTATATATATCTTTTCTAGCCTGGCTATATTCCGTTAAGCCACTGGCTGAAAGAAGCTTCTTTACTAACCAATGGCAATAAAACATATTCATAGCATGCAGAGGGGCATCCCACATCAGTCTATAGATGGAAATATCTTAAAATGTAAAATAAATGAAATGGCATACTCTCATTTAGTTTTCCTCTGAGATATAATGATCATAGCTAGATGATAATCAGTAGAGGAGATCTAAGTTATGGTGTTTCCACAGCAACATGCTGTTAAAACAACAACATCAGCAACGAAACCCAAAAACCAATATTGTATGTAAGAGTTAATGTGCTTAATAGAAACCATACTTGGATTTTTTACTTCGATCTTTACTTGTTCCTCTCTGCCCCCTAGAGCTGTTAGTCTGTTCTACTAGTATGTTACTTGTGAAAGCCATGTTTTTGAACTCCAAATCTCTTGCATAGAACTCATCATTTCCTTTATCATTGTGTTCTGAGCACTTCTGGTTCTTCTCATCTCCTTCATATGCACAGGGCTGTCCCACCTTCTATTTTAGGAAATTCTATAACTCCATTCTGAACTCTCTGAGGGTAACCATGTACAAGAACCTTTTGAATAAGTTAGGGTTATGAGGAGAAGGATGAACCCAGGGAAATTCAGCAGGTTTTTAAAACAATTTTTAGTCAAATCTCTGATTGGAGCATTTTTGCTAAAAAAAAAATCATCTGTATTCCTTTACCTCACCAAACCCTGGAGAGCACAGGCAGCTTATGAAGTAATTCAAGAATTAGTATTCATTTTCTTCTAAGTTGTAGTCACATAAGTATATCCTAGTATCCAGGTACAGGAAGAATTTAGAGGATCACAACTTGAAGTACATTCTAGACTCCAGAAAGATCTTGAGGGCATTTAGGCCCATTCAATAAGGCCATTTCTAAGATCAGAAAAAAAACACCTAAGCAAAAAAAATGTATCCATGAACTACTCTTGGAAATAACTCATGCTTGTTCACCTTTCAAAATCATGTCTAATAAAAATAGTTCAGTGGCAGAGTGTTTTTCTAGTATCCATGATGCCCCAGATTTAATATTCAGCAACACAGAAAAATGCTTTTAGGATTATCAGGTCAATAAGAATGTTGGTTGTTAATAAGACCCTTTACAGAAAAGCTCTGGTTATAATTACAAATTCTGGCTTCCAGCTTCAAAAACCCCTTGCCTTATGTCACTGTCCAAAGTATTAATAAGAAAGACTCCTAGACACTCCCCAAATGTTTTCCAAAGATTGATTTGAATGACTTCTCTAGCCTCATTCTCTCCATTCACCTTCAACTACAAACGCCATTTGCCTGCACCCAAGACTAGACAGATAATTTGAGCCTTAATTTCAGAGCAGGTCTCAGGCACAATGTGGCATCCACTCTCCTCATATCTAACACTTTGTGTCCTCCATTTGATTCTTAGGGGAAATGTTCTTTAAGAACTTCTGCCCACATATGGTTCTGTCTCATTATCTTTTGATAAGTTAGATAATGTATTTACATATATACCCACACTCACTCCTAAAGAGACCATCATTAATAAGGAATGCCTAGAAACCATGCTACAAGTGCAATCTATGGTATTAACAAAGGATTAATAAACAGCAAATTCCTGTAGTTTCTAAGTACAGTTTCCTGTTCAATAAAAGATAAGATGCCTTTACTACTTGTTTCTAGTTATTAAGTTCTCCTTATGTAGTAGAGTGTTGACTTCAGGGAGCACAATGAAGGAACTCATATACAGACTTCCTGAAAATGTAGCCTGCGAAAAATGTTCTTCCAGTTATAGGAGTATAAATTCATGGTGGAACATTTCATTAGCTTGCAATAGTCTTGGGAATCTACCTCTAATACACACACACACACACACACACACACACACACACACATTGTAAGTGTTATCATCATTAAAAAATTCTTACACAAGTTATGAATAGTGATCAAGCACATAACTTTAGCACTCAGAGTCTGAGGAAGGCTTGTTTCATGTCTGAAACCAATGTGGACTACATATAAAGTTAGAAAAAGTTTGGTTTACATTGTAAGAGCCTGTCTACTATAAACAAAAAAATCAAACAAAAAAAATCAATGACAAAATAATGAGACAGACTTTTAGCTTAAAATAAAGGTAGACCAATCTGATTCCAAGGACTCAAGTTTATCATATTTAATGTCTACCTGGCATATTTGAAGACGGAAATAAATGCAAGCATGAATGAATCAATGCAACTTACACTGTGTGTCTTAAGTTTTTCCTCTTTCTGGCATTAAATATTGTAAAATAAACTTATTGGAGAAAAGGGTTATTTGGCTCACATTTCTAGGTCAAGACCCATTAATCAGAAGAGGTCAGGGTGGCAAGATCCTGAAGCAGCTAGGCACAAGATAGCCATCCTTCAGAAGAGGGGGAAATGAAGGAATACATTCCTTTTAGTATTTATATGCATTTCTATATGTACATTCAGCTCACATTACCCTTCCTAGGTAATGGTGCTACCCACACTGGGCAGGTCTTCCTTCTATAATTAACATTATCAAAATAATCCCTCACCGACATGCGTAAAAAACAACCAAATCCAGACTCTGTGAGACTGACTTCTCTGATCATTCTTATATTGTTTCAAGTAGACAATTACAATTAAACATAAAGCTATAAATGTACTTACAGTTTCTTTGTATTTTAAAGTTGCCTAGGGGTTAGGATGATCTGTGTTCACAAATTTTCTTAGAAATTGACATATTTTAAATAATAGAATGAAAAGGGTTGCTTTAAGATAATGTATAATATGTTTCATATTACATATTCCAGAGTAAGTTAATTTTCTATTGCCTTATGAGCTTCCATTCACTTACTCTCTTTCAGCTTTGGTGTGCTGGTGTATTGTATTCAGTCAGTGAGAAGCATGTTATAAAGAAACTGAAAACTTATGGATTTGCTACTAGGTATGTAAAATTCATGCAACTGGTATGAAATAGTTTTATAAATTTCACACTGAAAACTGTATAAACTTCACCCTCTTTCTCCTCAATGTTGAATGCCTTAGTATCAACTCAAGAGAAATGACAACACAATGTATGCACTCAAAATTTCATATTCCATGCTTATTCATATGGTGATGTTCATAACAGGCAAAGCTTTGAGCTAATCCAATGATCCAAGAACATTGAATGATGAGGCAATGTTTGACACATCACTAGGAAAAACTTTTAACACTTGCTAATCATGGGTGTCACTTGAAGATATTATGCAACTGATCAGATGTAGGGTCTCATGCCTCTCATACTAGTCCTTGGATAGGAGAAGCAGTGGGATTTCCACAAGTTTGTGGCAAATGTAGAATTATACAGTGTAGAGGGTGTGTTGATTAGATTATCTACCTGCCTGAACAGATTGACACAGGGGCCTTCTCAGGCTTTTCTCATGCCACATCCAAGTCAGCAGATCTCCATGCAAGGCCCACTCTCTCAAACATAACACTTTTCCCTTAGTACTTTAAATCTGAGTATACTGTCCTTGTCCTGAGTAACTGTCTTCATATTGTCCTGTATATCTTTGCAGTTCTCAAGTATTCACAGTCACCATCATGTTGAAGAAAACATACAATCGCCAAATGGGAGGTTTTGCTTTGACCTCAATGGCCTGTCTACTTTGCTGCATCTCTATGAGGCTTCCTCAGTGGCGAGTGTGGTACTATGAAGACCCTATAATTTTCAAGCCTACAATGGCTTTTGTGGGCATATGGAAAGCCTGTGTTTTCTTCAATGGCAACAACTCCAGCAACATGAAAATATGTCACCAATACAACTACCGTGACTCCTTCATTCCATTGTATATGCAAATAAACCAGCACCTGCTGCTGGTGGCTATCTCTTTCGTGCTTTTTGGGAAAATCACCACCATTATTACTCTTGGTAGTCTGTGCATGGGAAGATTGTGGAGGAATGTCTCAGGCAAACTATTCAGACTTTCAGGAATTCTGAAGATCATTGCTAGCATCTTTATTTTTTTTGCTGTTTTGCTCAATTACATATCCATCATATGTAAATGGGGGATTGCCTTTCCACCGTCTTTTAATATGCCTTCTGACCCAGACACTCAGAAGATTGGTAGTGCCATGGTTCTTGCAACTATAGCTGCAGTTTCTTTCCTAATAAGTGGCAAAATTTGCATTTCTTCAAATTAAGCCATAGTCAAGACACCCTGTTCTAAAATTTGAAAGTAAATTTTTATCTTACACGACCTTGAAAATTCAGCAAAGATAGAAAACATTTGCTGTTGTGTCTACATAAATTTTGAAAGAGCCCAAAGTGACACCAAATGTGGCCTGTGCCAAAAGTGGTCAAGTTGACCTCCTGTTTTTTGTCTTGTTTTCTGCTTCCATAATTCATTATTTGGATTATGTGTTCTCATTAAATAAAATTTTATTTGAATTTTCAAATCTCATGTAAGATCTGTGTTTTCTTTGCTGTCAACAAAAGTGAATAATAAACTTCCATATTGAAATGAGTGTCAAAGTACATTAATCTCCCATATTTCTCTTCAACCAAAGGATATAAACAGAACCCAGACTGTTTCCTCCTGCACTTTCAACCATCCAAATCTACCTACTCTAAGTCCCTTACTAGGGAAATTCATTCCTCCTCCCTGGTCCACTACTTTGTAGCTAACCTCTGGTTCCACAGATTGTAGCCTTCTTAATGAAGGCTCAACAACCAAATAAGCAATGTTTGTCTTTCTGTTTCCTCATGTTGATTATTTTCTAGTTCCATCCTTTTACCTAAAAATTTCATAATTTCATCCTTTAACAGCTGTATCAGTTTTCCACATCTTTTCCCATTCATCTGTTGACAGATATCTAGGTTACTTCCAATCAATGGACAGAGGAACAAGGAACATGATTGAACAATGTTTTCTTTAGTTGTGATTCAGAAGGATGGGACAACTTTTTGTCCTCTTTTGCTATTTTCTTTGGGATGCTGACCCAAGCTTACATGTGCTTTTACCACCCTATTTCTGTGGGCTTCCTTATCCTCTAAAGGTCCTCTCCTCACTGTCAGTGCCTTCTGCCCTTTAACTGAGGTAATCTTACCTCAAACTTTGTATTTTATTTTATTCCCTTCTCTTCCACACTTCCCTCCTCTAGGCAGCTGCAAGATTTATACCTTGCCTTTACCAGTATGATTATACTATTTTGAGCTATAGTTATTTGACTTTGAGCTTCAATTTTATTCTGTCCTTTATGTATTTTATTAATGAGTCTAAAAACCACAGGAGGGAATTTACATGGTGTTGTATGTTAACCCAACTGGATACTCTCTGATTCCACATAATACTTTCTTTCATGTCTTTTATTTCTGCAATGAGATGAGAAAATGACCTCTCCTTGCATGTTGAAACTTTTCCTAGGCTTTCTTGCAGAAGTTGTCCAAAGAGTCACACAAATTGAGATGTAACTTCTTCAATAACTATCCATGTTTTACAAGGAATGTACTGATTTTACAATTCTCAAGTCCAAACATAAAGTTCAAAGAAAAGATATAGAAGAATCCATTAAACAGATGATCTTATGAGATCAAAGAATTCCTATAGACTTTGATTTAAACATCAAAAATAAGTTATGTGTCTTCCATGCCTACAGTTTCTCTTCTAATGATTGTTACTATGATGTCTATCTCACCTCTGCATCTGCATACAGGGTAGTAATATCCTTTCCCTCTTACACATGGTTGTTACACAAATGGAACAGCTGATGTATTTTTGGTCCTTCAATAAGGGCCACAAATTGGTAACCCATGTACCACATCAACTACCCCAGATTCAGCAATTGTCCCAAATCCCTAAGTGACAGTTGTGGTTGCCTCCTCAGAAGGGTTGAATGTTGAGGATATAAGATAGAAATGATACAGATAGCTCAGGGCACTAAAGGCAATATCAGCAGTTCCAGAAATGTTCCCAGTTCTGAACACTGGAATTGCCAAAAGGGAATTCGAGTTTCTTATTACCTCCTAAATAAGCACGACAATCTCAAGGCTTTACATGAGGGTATGGTCTAGAAAACTAGTCCAGAAATTGATTTCTTCTACTTAACAGCATTAGAACTGCATCACTAGATTTTTCAGGGTGTAATTGACAGATATCTATTCTGTAGCTTTACTCCAAGTCGTAAATAATTTTACAATTATTTCTTCAGATTGTAGTGTCTCATAGGAAAGAGAGAACTCTACTTCTAGATCAGTGGTTCTCAACCTTCCTAATGCTGTGACCCTTTGTAAAGTTCCTCATGTTGTGGTGACCCCCAACTATAAAATTACTTTTGCTGTTATTATATAACTGTAATTTTGCTACTGTTATGAATTATGATATAAATAATTGGTATGTGAACCTTGTTAAAGGGTCTTTTGACCTCCAAAGTGCCAGGAACCACAAGTTGAAAAACACTGCACTAGGTGAATGCATGCTTTTCCTCTGTCTTAATCATTACCTCAGGTGGTCAGGTCATTGGAAACAACTTACATGCTCCTCAACAGAGGAATGGATAAAGAAAATATTGTACATGAACACAATGGAATATTACTCATCTTCTAACAAAAATGAAACCATAAAATTTATAAGAAAATAATGAAATTAGAATAAAATCTTCCCAAGTGAGGTAATATAGACCCAGAAAGACAAATACGGTATGTATTCACTTATATATAAATATTAGTTGTTAAACCCATGTTAACAAAGCAACAATCTATAGAACCATAGAGGTTAGGTATAGAGAAAGAACTAGGTTGAAGAGATAGATTTTCCTAAGAAGACAAAATTGAATAGAGAGTTATGAATTGATGAGAAAAAGAAGATTGGAATGGGAATATCAAGTTGAGAGGGGAGGAAGAGTTCCAAGGGAAAGAATATGAGGAAAGACACCTAAAATTAAAGGGCATTTAAGTGGTAGTAAGGAATGTTGGAAGAGGTCACTAGTTCTTCTTGGCTACCCAGCTAACTTAGACCAAAAATATTCACACAAAACTGTATTAATTAAATCACTGCTTGTCACATTAACTCTAGCTTTTTATTGGCTAACTCTTACATATTAATTAAACCCATTTCTATTAATCTGTATATCACCATGTGGCTGTGGCTTCCCAGGTAAAGTTTCGAGCATCTGTCTCTGGTGGCTCCATGGATTTGCTCTGACTCTGCGCTTCTTTCTCTCAGCATTCAACTTAGTTTTTTTTTCAGTTTTTTTATTATTATTATTAAAAATTTTCACCTCCTCCCTTCCTCTCATTTCCCTCCCCCTCTCTCCTCTCCCTCTTCCCCTCCCTCTCCAGTCCAAAGAGCAGTCAGGATTTTCTACCCTGTGGGAAGTCCAAGGTCCTTCACCCCCAATTCAGTTCTAGGAAGGTGAGCACCCAAACAGACTATGTTCTCACAAAGACAGTACATGCAGTAGAATCAAAACCAAGTGCCATTGTCCTTGGCTTTTCAGTCAGCCCTCCTTGTCATCCATGTTCAGAGAGTCCGATTTGATCACATGCTCCATCAGTCCCAGTCCAGCTGGCCTTGGTGAGTTCCCATTACATCAGCCCCACCATCATAGTGGGTGGGTGCACCCCTCGTGGTCCTGACTTTCTTGCTCATGTTCTCTCTCCTTTTGCTCCTCCTAAGTTTTCTGCTTAGCTAAGGTCCAAAGGAGTTTCTTTATTCATTAACCAATAAAGGCAACACATACACAGTAGGACCTCCTACACCATTTCCCATTTTCTGTTTAAACAAGAAGGAAGGCTTTAACTTTAACATAGTAAAATTACATATAACAAAACAGTTATCAAGCAAGAATTACAGTTACAATATTTATATCTACTTTATATTTATCATAACAAAAAACTATAACTATAAATTCTTCAGCTCCATCAAAGACTCCAGAAGGATATGATATTATCTAAGTAAGCAGGAAGTACATTGCAAGTAACTTCAAAACTCTAGAATTGACAGAGACATCTCATTACCTGGACAGTCAACCAAAATTCTTCTGTACCATTGGGGCATCCATCTTCAACCTACAGGCCCATAGTATCCAACATTTTCATGAAGCAGGAAATTTCAAAGACAGTTTTACCTATATTGGCAGTTTGCTAGTCACTTTCTTTTGTATCTTGCAGAATGTTTAGTAGAGTCTTTTATGAAACAGGAACTCTGAAGGACTATCTCACATTTAAGCAAGTTCAGCAGTCATCTTTCTGTGGGTCCTGCATGTCTAGTTAAGCAGTCCAGGCAAGAGCAGTTTCTTGACCAAATGGCTAGCAAACTTCATAAGGAACCTCTTCAGTGCCCATCATTCTCTTGAAGTAATTGGTGCTGCCAGGAGCAGATGTGTCTCACGGTCATGAAAAGTTTTAAGTTCTTAAACATTATAAATGCCATATTCTGAAGGTCTCTGAAAGATTTGAAGAATAGCTATCTATCTGAAAAAAAAACTCTGTAATCTAAAAAATCTAATTAACATGACCACAATCTTGAATATTATAGAGGATTATCTATTAACGTGTATTTCTTAATTACACATAACATTTTTGAATGATCTGTACAAACAAAATACTGTAATCAAGATCAGAAATACATAAACATGATATAATAAAACTGACCTTAAATTTTTATCAATAAACCAAAATCAATACTAAAGCAAATTATTCATCTCTATAGCATACACTCCTTTAAATGTAAACAACATTTATAGACAAAATTTGGGAATATGGGTGTAGTTATGTCTAAACTTCTTCCTGCTGTTTATTGAGTAAAGTAATTTTTGGAAGGGTGTTCAAGGCAACTTTTCAGGAGGTCTTAATCCACCAAACTATATTAATCTGGAAGTAATCCACAGGTTCTCATTCTCTGTGGAAACAAAAGAACCTCTTTTACGAAACAACTTATTCATAGACTAAAATTTTAAAATCAATATACCGTTACATTGGTTTAGCTTTTCAGCCAGTACAATGAAATGTCTCTCTGTACTTCTTTCCTTCACAGTCAAAAAATTCAAAGAAAATACAATAATATACATACTCCAGACTTTCTATGTATAGTCCATCTTAATATGGCTTATTTTTCTTTACTTCGCTTAACCTATGACTGTCTGTACTGTATCTCTTTAAAGACTCTTTTTTTCAGGTTTTATTATTATTATTATTAAAAATATTCACCTCCTCCCACTTCCCTCTCCCTTCCTCCATTTCCCCTCCCCCTCCCTCTCCAGTCCAAAGAGCAGTCAAGGTTCTCTAACCTGTGGGAAGTCCAAGGTCCTCCCTCCCAATCAACTTCGAGGAAGATGAGCATCAAAACAGACTAGGTTCTTACAAAGACAGTACATGCAGTACAATCAAA